CAGCACCTTCACCTATGAGATCATGTGCTACTCCAGCGTGTTACACCCTGCCAGCCAATGAGGTGGCTGCTCCCTTGAGAGGTCACAGCCTGCCAGCCAATGAGCATCCTCCTCCCCTTTGAGGTCATGAGCTCCCCAGGATGTCACACCCTGCCAGCCAATGAGGTGGCTGCTCCCTGTAAGGTCACACAGCACTGACCAATGAGCAGCCTGCTACCTCACGAGGTCCCTCACAGCCAGGCAATGAGCACACTGTGCTGTGGGGGGGAAGGGGGCAATGGCAAGAGGAAGATGGGGTTGGAGGAGCTGAAATTGTCACCCAGCAAGAGTAAAAAGGGGCCAGTGAAGGCAGAAGCACCAGAACAGAACAAAAAAAACCAACCCATTTTGGTCATCGTTCTGGGGTTGGGTTTCTTAGGCTTGGGGTTTTTTTTTGCTGGAGGGAGCATCCCAATTGTTGTAGTTACAAGAAAATTCTGCCTGGTTGGGGAATTCTGACCGGTTAGGGTGGGTAATTGTTTCAGCAGTAAAGCTAAAAGAGCACGTTGACTAATCAAGGTAATTTAAGTGGGCAAGGTAATCAGAGAGGGGGCTGATAATTATGTAAGCTAGAATAGGTATTTGTTCAAGCTACAGAATTAAAAGAAAGATTGCAAGATATATTTGTATAAGCAATTAGAAAAAGCACAAACCATGTCCGAAGGGAGCATTAAATAACAGAATGGAAAGGAGGGGTAATAACTGGATTGAGATCACCATGCGAATGGACCGAAACTTCCGTGAGAATAGACACGGACCGAAGCTTTCTCATGGGAATGGACTGATGGACCAAAACCTCTCTTAGGGGAGTGGACTGAAAGCTTTTCTTTGACAAAGTTATAGGGGTAAAGTCTATGGGGAACCAATCAGAGTGACAGATAAAGGAATATGTAATCCTCTTAGGCATATGCATGATCGTATGATTTGCTTTGTTAAAGTTGTATAAAAGGACGATGAAAGTGTCCGGACAATGGAACACACCTTTGAGGGGCTACCCTGTGTGTTCCCCAGCGCTGCAAATAAAGAAGTGCCTGCTTATCTGCAACTGTGTAGATAAGTGTTTCTTGTGATTGCGACCCCGTCAACAGGATCACAGCATGGGTTTGGGTGGAAAACACCTTCAGGATCACCGAGTCCAACTTCTGATCCAGCCCTAAGGCTGCCACAGAGCACGTCCCTGTGCACAACATCTCCTCTTTTAAACCCCTCCAGGGACGGGGACTCCACCACCTCCCCGGGCAGCCCCTTCCAGTGCTTGACAACCCTTCCAGTGAAGAATTTTTTCCTAATATCCAACTTCAACCTCCCCTGGCACAACTTGAGGCCATTTCCCCTTGTCCTATCCCTAGCTACCAACCTCCCCCACCTCACCACACCCTCCTCAGGCGGTTGTAGAAGGCAATAAGGTCTCCCCCAGTCTCCTTTTCTCCAGACTAATCAACCCCACAGCCACTCCTCGTAATTCTTGTGCTCTGGACCCTCCACCAGCTCCACTGTCGTTTTTTGGACACCTGTAGCAGGCACTGCTGGAAGAGACACTGGGGCTTGTGGACACCACAGGGCTCTGCAGGTTGCACCTTGCTCTGGTGCAGATACTTCCCCCCTGGCTCTGACAGGTCTCCAAACCAGGGCTGGAGCAGGAGAGCCCCAGAAGCCCTTCTCAGCTACTCCTCTACAGGCTGGGACCAGCTCTGCCTTCACAGACACCGACCAGCACCCCATGGCCCTTGCAGAAGGGTCTCCCTGAGCACGTCTGTCAGCTTTTTCTCCACACACAAGGTGCCAACCTTGAAAGAACACAAGGGCACCATGCAAGAGGGTGAGGAAAAGGCTCACTGGAGAGGTTTCTCCTTCTCCAGAAGTAACTCTGCTCAGTTAGGTTAATCACAGATTGCCACCCTCCACAGCCCTTCCCTACAGAAGGGGTCCATCTCCTGAGAGCTGGCACCCAAGGATCTGGGAGGCTTCAGGCACACCCATCACCCTCCACCCTGAGCTGCAATAGGGAGGAAACCAGCTGCGTTAACAAGCGCACACAGCAGGATATTTTATTCCCAAAAAGATGTGGGTTTAGGGCACCCAGGTACAGAGGTTTCCAGCCCGAAGCAGCTGGAAATAGGAAACATCACAAATTTGCCCAGGACAGTGCTGTAATGAGGTACCTTGAGCTTGAGCAGCCCTGCAGCAGCCACGGGGCAAGCGGGGAGCTCCTGCCCCACATCTCCAGCTGCAGAGCCCAAGGCACATTCAGCTCCATCAGTCTCCCCCACCCCTGAAAGGAGCCAATCTCCAGCACTTCAGGCCCTTACAGACCTTCAATCTCTAGGCAGACCAGTTTCAAGAGACCTAAAACCCCTACCACCTCATTTTAAGAAGTGGAAACCCACACAAACTAGTTTCACACCAACACATGCCAAGAACAGAGGTCCCAACAGCACACCAACATCCCCATGCCCAAACAGGGCAGGGGTTCACCCCCACCACCCTCCTCCCCGAGTCAGCAACTTCAGTGCCATGTCTACCAAAACTCAGTGGACTTCATGGCCCAAACCAGGGCAAGGTAGGACACCCCCCAGGCTTGTCAGTGGCTCTCCCAAACCGACACAGGGCTGTGAGAGGGAAGGTGTGTAACTGCCTGGTGAACATACAGCCACCCTGCAGCAACGCAGGCCAAGACTGCTCTGCCCTGGGCACATTTCTTCCTCCAGGAAACTCTTTTTGAGCTATTTACAGCAGGCACAGAGCTGGTCTAGGTTCCAGACTGACATCCCAGAGACCCTTCCCACAGCTCTAGCTTGCAGCTGCATCCAAGAACCTGATGTCAGAGCCCAGCAGCAGCAACTGCAGAACTCTGAGCAGGCCACAAGATGAGAAAACCCTGTTTATTCTGCATGAAAATAGGAGGAAGAAAAGAAGGGTAAAATAAGGAGGGGTAAATCGGTCCAAGGGTTAGCCAGAGGCTTGGTCTCCTGTCAGCTGCAAGGCCAGGATTCCACCCAGAGCAGCTCATCTCACCCCCAAGGCAGCGTTGGTGCTTTGCAGGCAGTTCCCTTGCACAGCGGTGGCTGCGCCTCATGTCACACCAGGCTCTGGGCTCTGCCCATCCGCTCCCCAGGAAGACAGGGGCTGTCACTGCAGGAAACCGTCCAGTCTGGCCTGGCTGCTGCTGGAGGAAGACGCAGAGGGAGCTGCAGATGCAGGCCTGGAGACGTTTTTCTTCTTGCTCCTCACCGCTGACGGACGGATTTCTGCCAGGTTTGTCTGAAGGCAAAACTGTCAAGGAAAGTACAGGGGACAGAAGTGACCCAGTAGCTGCTGCAGAGCAGCTTGAACCACAGACCTGAGACCTCGCCATACATTGGCACCCCCAAAAAACCAAACCTGGCTGCAGGACAGGCCAGGCTTTGCCCCCTACTCACAGCAGCAGAGCTGAGGCACGCTCCTGTCCCAGGGCAAGAAAAGCTTCCCACTTTCTTTCTACTCCCTTGCACACAAAACAGTGTTTAAGCGCACCTATCAGAGCTTCGAGATCCACCCTGTGTGTCAGGGCCAGGACATCATGCAGGGAAAGGCACAGCAGCCAGAGCCTGCAGCCTCGCAGGGCAGAGCAACAGCAAGAGAAGAGCCCTTAGAGCGCCAAGTCCCTTTTAACTCACATGCCAGAGACACAAATGGCAAAAACTACACCTGCAGCACCAAAAGGCAGGTGCAGGCCACACTAGCACAGCTGCAGGGCTACACAAACCAGCACACCTGCAGCACTCGGGCTTAGAGAAATGAGCTGCTGCTCCACCAGCCACACGCAAGAGGCAGCACTGGGATGGCTGCCCACCTTCTCCAGCCACCTCAGGCTGGCAGTATGGGCACATCTGGCCCCCAGATAAGCATCTCCCTGTCACTGGGTACCTCCACCCTGC